ACGGCTGACAAGGGAACTCGTGACTCATACCAGTGTAAATTCCCGAATCGGTTCAACTTTGGGGTTGTCTTCAAGGTTGACTGCATACTTTCCGATTGCTGAAACGAGTTCGTTCCCAAACTAACATTTGGGGTGTAGAGGGCGGCGATTAGTAGAGGGTGCCGTTCAACACTGTCCAAAGTCCTTTACGGCACTTTCCGAGAGAGGAAAGTGTTGAACGGCGCGCCAGGAGATAGGGTTGTGTTAAGCGGCGCGTCCGGAGATCGGACAGCGTTGAAATTTGCGCAAAGAGATCGGACGTGTTCGTTGGGCGCCGTCGAGGGTGAATTTAATATAAGGGGGGGAACCAATCCTGAGGAGAGTGAACAAGCTAGTACGTTGGCACACCGTCGTTCATTATCCTTTTGCGTAGTTTGTATCATTTTATTTAGCATATCATGTCATTACTGCGCTATTGCTGTAAAAATTCTTTGTGACGGTGACGAAAATACCATGGCTAATTTTTAGTACAGGGGTGTCGTCATGGTTTTTTTTCGTCACGATAGGGGTTTACTCGTCACCGTGACGGGAAAACCCATGACGACACCCCTGAACTAAAAATTAGCCATGGTTTTTTTGTCATCGTGACAAAGAATTTTTACAGTGTGAGAACCCCGAAGTTTGAACCGATTTGGTAATTTCCACTAGTAATGAATGAGTGCCCTTGATAGCACGCGGCACATCAACTCACTGTAAGGTGTAGGCCGTCGGTCAAGGTCGAACCCCTCCTTTTCCTTGCCACATCTTTGACGTAGCTATCGGTTGTCAGCTGTACTTCAGGTCCCTTTTCCTGTTTGTGCATCTATTTTTTGCCGCGTTGCTGCTAAATGATCAAATGCGGTGTTGTCGCCTTTTCTGAAGCACCTGGTACTTTAGATTATATGTTTCTGAGAAGACATGTTTCCTGTGTCGGGTTCTATGGTACGTATTACTAGTGACGCCGCGTTGTTCTTTAATGACGTGCCACTTTTCACCCGTCACTAACTCGAAGCACGCACGGACGGCGTGTCGTCCACTCACTTATGTTTGCGGTGCCTCTGTAAAAGCAGTGGCGGTTTCCTGCTACTTGTTTCACAGACACCTGAGAGTGACATTGGCCTCATCAACTTATGGGAGAGAGCAGAACAGCAGAACCGCAGAACAGCAGATGCAATTTAGACTAATTTTTAAATTAACATATCTCAGCCAATTGTTGTGATATTCAAAATCCAAGAACTGTATAGGAAAGACAGGATCCTACAGTACCAGGATACACCCTTTTGGTGTCGGTACCACTTTTCCAGTAACGCCTACAGAGCTTTGAAAATAAAATTTGCGAAAAGGAAATCGCGTAGTTTTAAAGAAGGCTCTCCGGACTTGTACAGCTGCCCAATGGCTAGCCGTTTCACATATTAGCCGACAAAATGACGTTTTAAAAATTTTCATGAATCAGACCGTGCCTCCTTATGGGCTACCTTACAAACGTGCTCCAATTTCGGACAGCCAGATTAAATTGTAGTGAAATTACATTTTCATCGCAGATTTTAGTGAGAAACTACTGTTTTCGCTACAACGACGGTGCACTATAGTACTCTAGATCCCCGTCCTCTTAATTCCGTTTCAGACTTAAAATATTGCAAAAGACAGCCGAGATAGGTAGAGTTTATCATTTCTTCTACATTTTGTCCGAAATTAGAGCACTTTGTCTGTAAGCAGCGCACGCTACCTTTAAGCATAATTTCGCACCGCGTAAAAATCAAAATGGGTTTCATCCGACTGGTCTTGAGCCGTAGTATTTAAAGAAGAAAAAAACCTCCTGAGATTTTTCAAAATAAAGACGTGCCCTAAACGAGGACAGTTGTTGCAGTCCCTAATTTCGGACAGTCTGTAAATGGCCGCTGTGGTTAACCATGAGTTGAGCTCTAAATTTGACTTGGTAATGGTATCATTCGATAGGTCCTGACCCATAGTACCTTGGATCTCAACAGATTTTTCATACTATATCAGGTGTGCACGAAACAGACCGAAAACAGCTAATTTTGTCCGAAATTAGGGCTCATGACTATATCTTTCTTCAGAGTGTGGTCAATATATTTGTAGGTCACCCCAATTTAAAGTTTCGGTTGGCTATAGGAAACCCACGTGACTACAACAAAACCCCATGTGGAAATAGAAGAAACACGTGGTATATAGAAAGCCCCCACGTGGTAGAGACAAAACCCTCGTGAAATATAGAAACTCCACGTGGAAAATTACGGAATCCACGATGGAGTCGATTATCCACGTCGGAACCCAGGTCAATACAAATTATGGAAAGGTGTGGAAATATGAAAACTGCAGGTGGAACTACGTCCAAAACGCAATATCCACGGACATATATAATATCCGTGATGAGGCTCATCGTTTTTTCATAATTTGGTATTTTCTTCGGGAGCTCTGCTGCTTAGAAAAACCAGCATTTGCGAATAATGTGTTGTAAAAGGAAAAGGCAATTAATCCTTAACTAAACTTGTAGATTTATTAAACGAGGTTATCATAAGGCGTAGAAGCTTCGTTGTTCGACTCGTCGCCAGTGCAGCGCTCTCTGCGTGAGTCGAACACGGTGCCCTCAGGACAGGTCTTGAGAACGGGCTCGCCCACCACGCCTCGTACGTCGAGCACGCACTCGTAGTAGAGCCTGCTCGTGGGGTCGTTGCTGGCAGCCTGCCTTCCATCACGGGAGCAATAGCGCACACAGGCGGTGCTCTCCGTGTCCAGGCGGTGGTTAGGCGGGCACAGGACCACGGAGGGACCGAAGGGGTCGTTACAGTTAAAGGCGATGGTGTTGTCTTGAGCGTACACAGCGTAGCCAGCGCCGGCGCAGGTCTGGCACGCGGCCTTGTTGTTTGGCACGCAGGCCGCGCTCGCGTGGTCGTACACCGTGTTGAGGCCCACCCTGCACTCGTAGTCCCAGGCGGTGCCGTTGACGCAATAGTGGTAGCGCGAGCACGAGACCGGGTCCGGCAGGTAGCCCGTGTAGTCCTGCCCGGGGCACTGGAAGCTGGTCGACACCGAGGGACCGATGTCGCACGGGTTGTTGGAGTCCATGAAGCGGACGCATCGGCCCTGCCGGCAGAAGGGTGCGTACGGCGGGCACTGCATGTTGAACAAGGGTATGGCGTGCGTGCCGTCTATGCGCGCGCACACCGCCAGCCTGTCGCAGCCCGTGCACACCTGCCCGACGCGACCGCCACAAACGTCTGCGTCAGCTGCGGCAAGCTGCCCCGCTAATGCACACAGCACCAGCACCACAGCAAGCTGCGTGGTGAACAATACATTTTGTTTAGTTTAGTTCCAAAACGAGGGTCCTTGTGCATAAAAATTGAGTGGTGACAGTATTAACTCACGCTCAGGGCCGCTTTAAAGTTCGTCATCGTGGATACTGCTCGCGGGCGGCATCGCGTCGTGCCTTTTATACCTGCACTATCTGCAGGTGAAGATGGACCGCTCGGCACGGCCCCCGCGCTGGCGGAGATAGCGAATGAACAATGAGCACGAGCCACCACCACAGCCCCTCCCAGTCGAGGGTCTGGAAGCTGAGAGGGGAGGGTGGGGGCAGATGATAACTTCCAAAACCCCTTTCAAAAGCCCATACCAAAATCATTAAGTAGAAAAAGTCTCGGAGCGACACTGCGTGAAGCCGTCCGCGACTTGACTTCGGAATGCATTGGCACGATAAATTTCCATTGAAAATACTAAATGTTACGGGTGTAGTGGTGAGGTGAAGACCAAGGTAACACGCCTCGCCGTTCACGCGTCAACGGGTCAGCACAGAGGCTGAAAAGACAGAGGGAAAAGTTTTGAGGGAAAATGGAAAGAACAGTCTCTTGGACAAAATTGACTCGACCAGTTCACCGTCCGTTTGTGAAACCGTTCTCCTCCCCCGTCGATTTCAGTGATCTGAAAAGTCCCCGATAGTCTGGTAGGGCAAGCACAAATGGGCACCCACGCCACTCCATGCTGTGTGCAGCACCGAGGCGTAAAGGCCGCTCCTCGCCATACGCCAGCCTGGAGCCGGGGTGGCGCTGAAGAGAGGTGGAGGCGAAACGCTGGAGAGAAATAATAAAAGTCTATTACACCCTCTCACCCCAACTGCAACGCGTCGCGTGTGGAAGAAAGTCGACTAAAGGACTTTTTATTTTGTTATTTCTATTCCCACGGCAAATATATAATACTATAAGTACACATAACTACGGCAAAATAAGGACAATAATACAACAAGCGCGCTAATTGAAAAAATGTCGTAATGCTGCACAGACTGTTGCACATGTAAGACCCTTTACGTCAATCTCAATCACATTTTCCGTTACCTGACAAATAATATTTATTTAACCATTTTTTTTTCTTTTTTAGGTTTTTTCAGCAAGAGCAATGGTAGAACGTCAAATCGATAACACCTTCACTGAGCTTATTTTAGAATGGATTGACATGAATGCCTAACAGAACTTGCATCAGATCGGAACACGACATAGCAATTATGCAGAATTTCCAAATATCGTCAAATATCGAAATTTCTGAATTTCTTCTTTGTAAATTTGACACCGGAAATAGCAGATCAGGACTCGTCCGCAGCCATGCTTCCATATTGGTCTGCCCTCGCAACTATTGTTGTTGCAAATGCGGGCAAAAGTAGTCGTCCATGTATGTTTTGAGGGTTGGCGATGAAGGCCTTACGTCATAGATGATAGGGCACAGATAGTCACAGCCATAGTCAAGGGTTTGTGATATGGCCGTTCCACTTCATGTATATTTTGAGGTCAGAAATTAACGATATGTACGTCATAGATAATAAGGCTGAGGGCTTAGATCCGTTATGCTTTGAGCAATCAAGTAATCCATACCAGATGCCCAGTAGGCCAATGTTCCGTCTGCTCCGCTATCGCATCCGGAAATTAACGTCAACAGACTTTTTCATCACTAACTAGCAACAAACAAATCTATCAGACATTTTCAAATTGCTTCTTATAAAACTATCAATAGTATTGGCAAAAAGTCGTTTTTGGCTGAGCGATGATTAGCGAAGCCCATTACTCTACTGACCAGAAAAGCTTCATTCTGTTTGTTTGTTTGTCGGTCTGGACGCACGATAAGTCGAGAAGGAAGTGAGATTTCGCTCTGGTAATTTCAGTGTAGTTTTTTATCATGACAAGCAGGAACGCCCTTCCTCCACACGGAGTTGCCAGCTCCGCTGCGCAGCCCCGGCAACTCCGTTCGGCAGGGGCCGGGCCTGCTTGGCCTGCCGGCGGCGATGCTCTGGAAACTCAAGTGTCGTACAGTATCACACTTATAAGTGCAGTACCATGGTGTCCTACAGTTGAAAGTGTAGGACCAAGGTGTACTGCAGTTAAAAGTGTAGTACACAATGTGTCCTACAGTTATAACTGTGGGACAAGGGGTGTCCGACACTTGCGTTAGCTGGCACCTTGAGGTGTCGGACACCATGTGTCCTACACTTAAAACTGTAGTACACATGGTGTCCTACACTTCTAACTGTCGGCCACATGGTGTCCTACACTTTTAACTGCAGTACACCTTGGACCTACACTTATAACTGTAGGACACCATGGTACTGCACTTATAAGTGTGATACTGTACGACACTTGAGTTTCCAGAGTGGTCGGGCCTTAGGACCGACCATTTCAGTCTCCCGATTTACAGAAGAACATAATAAAATAAATAATGTAAATAAGCACTTTGCATATTTGAGTAAAGTAAGGCTTCCGGCGGGGGCCTGCGGCCCTAGGGATTTGCTCTTCGGACATACAAAAGACTGTAACGGGTCAACACCGTGACTACACCCCACCCTTCTGCTTTACTTAACAATTAAGAAAAATGAACCAGTGAAGTTTTTAGATTTTATTCCTTGTCAGACAGTCTTAAAACTTGACTTTTTTTGCCATTGTTTTCAATATATCCACCTCTAGGTCCGAAACAGTGAAATATACGGCAAATCTAAGGGTAGATCCTCATTCAGAATGTTTTTTTTTTTTTTTTTTGGGGGGGGGGTACTTCCTCTGACATTTTACGATTGGACGCTTCCTTGTACGTCTTAATGTGAATCCTGGCCATTTGCGCCGTAATTTCGTCGAAAAAAGCTCTCTAGCGCCCACACGGTGCAAGAGACTCAAACGGACAAAATTTTCGTCCGAAAGTCTCTATTTGTACGAGTTACCCCTCAGAAGACTATAAAAAAAATCAAATTTTTAGGACCAACCCCTATTTCTTTGTAACCCTCTTTCACCCACTTAGGGGTGACTGACAGGATTTGCCGTAGGCGTTTCGTTTTCAGGGAGTGAACCTTAAGATACCCTGAAATTTTCAGACCTCTCGCTCAGCTCTTTCCTCTTACACGCACGACGGACGGACGGACACGAGGGCGGTTGCATAAGCCCGCTTTAATGCTTTTTTAAAAGCAGAAAGGCGGGCTAAAAAGACACATCGAATTCGAAGATAAGCATCCTAGGTCAAAAATTGACTTTTTTAAAAATCGAATACTACAGGTCGCAAAATGTATTTTTTTCAAATATTTTTATAAGGGTTAGGGGGTAACACCTTAGAGTAGAGTCCCATGGACGAAAATTTCGTCCATTTTGCTCTATTTCGTACTGCTTTGGTGCTAGGAGGCATTTCTTGACGAAAGGTGGAAATGACCAAATGGTCTATTAAATCGCAAAAAAAAGGCTTGAAATCGCTAAATTGTACCGGAAGTAATACTTAACCCACACATCTGGCGTTGAACTACGCCCTCCTTTGCGCGCAAGGGTCTCTTACTATCACTACAGCGTTTATTTTTCATAACATTCTGTCAATATCGAATATCAGAAGTTTCACTTCAAAGTCGGGGGCCGATAGGCCCTATTTCCGTATTCAGTCCTGTTGACTTGTCTCGGGTGTCAGCGACGCAGGCCTAGCTGTGCGCCAGGCGCGTCGCAGCGTCACAGTGTTTCGTGAGATATCGCGAAGCCTGTTACGCGAGACGTGGTCTGGCGTACATATAGCTAGTAAATTAATTACCCCCCCCCCCCCCTAAAAAGGCTTTCAGTATTAGTAACGAAGTCTGTGAATATTAGCTAAGCAATAGCGAAGCCCTTTACGCCGTTGTTGAACAGAAAATGTACTTTTGTCGCTTGGTCTATTTTTACGCTCGTTTGTACGTTTGTTAGTAAGCCTATTTGTATACAAATAGACACGCCCAACAACACTGTCGTATCTACGTCTATTTGTTTTCGAAATGTCCTATCTTCAAAACGTCGCCCCTGGATACTTAAAATTTTTCTGGATACTTCTTCCTCAAAGTTTCGGCAGGGAGGGTATCTTTTAGGACGAAGAACAGCGGACGTACTTCACGGATGATCCAATATCCGTCCACGGGGTTAAACCGTCTCCTAGGTGCGACTTCGCCCGGTCGACCGGAGATGTCTATCATCAGCTCAGACCAGCGGGGGCTTGGGCTGGTGACTGAATAGAATATGCATGACTTTGGACGCAGCGTAGACGTCAGGCATGTCACCTTAATTTGAGCCAGGATGGAAAAATAACTAGAAACTCTGCATAATAGGGGCAACGAAGTCGCGAATGCATCAAAAAGTCCATTGCAACAATACAAGTGTAAACGAATATAATTTGTGTCCGTTTGTGTCTGTCTTCCGACCAACAAGTCATCGGCAGTGTTCGCACGTCCTTAAGCTGACAAGCTGTAGGCTGAGTCGCAAGTCCAGATCCTGATAGGTATGCAGATGAGGCAGACTTTTAATGGGGTATTAAATCTCAGCGATTTTTGTGGGTGGGTTTTGGGGAGAGGGGGGGGGGGGGGGGGGGGGCTCGTCGTCCCCTGGGAGTGGACGGACGGTCCTGTCGTCACACAACTCGGAAGTTACAAACGACGCACTCCGTAGTGTTCTCATAAAGCTCTCTTCTTGTGGATACGGCATACGCCCCCCCCCCCCCCACCACCCGCCTTTGCTGCTCGCCATGCCGTTTAATCCAATTCCCATAGCCGAAGAACCTGCCTGGGCCACCGCGCGTCAGTGACCCCCCCCCCCCCCTCCCGTGATTAAAGATCAGCTAAAGCTTATCGTAATGTCTGCAAATCACGTCTCTCTGTCTCTCTCTCTCGATCTCTCCCTCCGTCCCTTTGTACCCCACCGTAGGCATTAATAAATTCAATTCAATTCTCTCTCAATTCTCTCTTTCATATGTATGCTCGACTTTTCGTTTTTGGCATGCAGTGTCTGCTGCGCCCACGAAAAGGGGTAGAAGCGTTGGAGAGTGGGAGAGCAAGCAAACGGGGTAGGGGGTGGGATAAAGGGAAACTGGCTTCATTTCACTAGACGAGTCTTTGAGCAACGGAGAAGACGGCCAGTTAGCGCTTTTGTTGATCTTGCCTCCCAGTTGCTGAGACACGATTTGGCCCTTGCACTCGCAAAGCCTTCACTCCAAGAAAAATTACAGAGTCTTTATATCAAATTGTGATACAGTAATTTGTACCGGTGATACAAAATCTTGC